TGGTCAGCGTACCGGCTTCAGGCTTCGCATGCAAGCCGATCTAGGAAGGCGTACTGTCCAACCTATAGGGCTGCAGGTGGTAAATGTTGTGGTAATCGTTTGTTCCGCAAGCGTTTTGCGCAACAAGGTACCTGCTGCTTGTCGAATTATTACGCCATCGCGGATAGTCCGACCAGTAGAGAGCTCTCTGGGAGGGGATATACCCTTAGAATAATGCTAGTTGCGTTCCCATGTTTATAAACAGTAGGTGGCCTTACTAAGATGATGCACAGCCGGGGAGTTCGGTATGAATGACTGGTGATGGCTAATGAACACGAAATGGTCTTGCGCTAAATTTGGGAAGGATAAATATTCCTGTCTGCTCCTAACCCAATCCCTTACCGTACCCCTAATTCTACTCCCGATCCTACCCATAACCACAGGCATATGCTAACCACAGATTGTAATCTCCCCAGAAATTTGGGTAGGAGTACCTCGTGGGGCTGGCTTACGGGCTCCTGATTTTAGGGGAGAGGACGGGTGGGGCATGTCAGGGAACAAATCAGGGCCCAATAATTCCTGTAAAATATGAAAAGTTACGAGGGTAAGTTAGGGCGCGTTCTCAAACATCGGGCGGGGACACTGAAGTACGCTTTAATATCATGGCTAACGCCCCGCTGGGCCAACGGCGAGCACGTGCATGTTGGGGTGGTGTTCGCTGACCTCGGGCAAGGCCATTGAGGTACATTTTCTAGTAGTACCACTAACCCCGACTAGGATAAATGTTACCGAGTGCAGAAGTTGGATGATTGTGGAATTCACCCTACTTAACATTTGCAAGTAAGCTATTATTCCCGTGGTTAATTTGAAAAGCCATTTTTGCTTAATATACTGACGTAAGCGGTTATTGTATGCGGTGACCTTCCAAGGACCCGTGCGTAGTTCAATGCCCTCCTCCAAGCCCTACTGGGTCGACGGCCGGCGTGCAGAAAACTGGACAATTTTGCGCAATTCAACCTACTTAAAATTTGTAGGTAGGTGGTTATAATACATGAGGACCATTCTGCGGCCCCAGTTGATACTCTCACCGAATTTTGTCAGTCCCTGTGGCCATGTCCATAAGAGTTTCCTGCGTTAAATCTAGCAGGCAAGTAAGATTTATTGACGAATCGTCCTGGTGGGTTCACAATACGTCTGCCGAGACGACAATTACTGCCACTAACTTACTGATGAAATTTACACAAAC